TCCACAAGTTCAAAAGAAATCTGTAAAATTTTATTTTATTTTTGGGCTAAGCTGTCTGCTGAGATTCTTGCAGATTCTGTTCTTGATCCCATTTCCTCTGTTATTCACAATGTTTCTGTTCCCTACTGCTTAGTCCCAGGACAGTTATACTCTCCCTGCCAGCATCACTGCAGAGAAACCCTCTGTGTCTGTCATCTACTCCAGATCCCAACCCCATAGTTTTAAATCATGAAAGCATCTTCTGACCTTAACTTATTTTTCTTACTGTATCCCATGCATTCTTCTCACTCTGCTCTATTATACAAAATTTTTGCATGTTCCCAAGTATGTACAGAAGCTCCAAGCAGCCACATAATACCCCTTCCTGTTTCTCTACACTATGTAAAATGTTTCCAGGCAATTTACCTTGGCCTGTAGCAAAATTATGTTTGTTTGGGACTGAAGTGTGTGGTACATAATAAATGCCTGACAAAAAATTACTTTTACCAGGTTTCAAAATATCAGTGCAGTCATGTTCCTTTCCAGAAATTTTAATCCAGTTGCTTTCAAATATCTGAAAATCAGGAAGAAAGGAGTTATGCATGTAACTTAAACTTGTGAATATCAAGAAAAATAATAGTAAAATACATGTCAGTGAAGCATTGGCTCTACTCTTCCTCCCCAGATGGCAAAAGTCCACATGCATTTTAGATGGATTCACTGTACTAAGTTCAGTGATATTGAATGGTGAAGGGATTAGTTGGAGCAGCTTGGAAGTTTGAGGAGATCTGGGTCTGAGCCAGTACTGGGTGTATTCAAGGAGAGAGAGGTGTATGTGTGTCTTAATCCAATATCAGTGCAAAGAAATTCAAGCCTTGTCTTGCCATGGATTTTTCAGCATTGTGAGAGTGAAAATTCTGCAGAAAAATAAACTTAATTTGTGAAAGTGTATAAAGGGGTTGTAAAAAGTAGCATATCTGGTGTTACTTCCTAGTTGTGATCCATGTGGGGATAGGTTCCACTCATCATAGATCACTTAGCCACAGATTTTATCTTTAAAAAGGTAATAAAAAAAAAAAAAAAAAAGGTGTTAGGTATTGTCCTAAAGTTATCAAGGGCTCTATTTCCTCTGAAATATGACTTTGTTGGCAAAGACTAAGTTTGAATCTGTATATTGTGGACTTTTAAGGGCATTGTTCAAGGATGGCAGATTAACATCTTGACATCCTATAATTCAGAATTTTGTGGTTTTAAAAGGTTAAATTTCACTGACCTTACTCCTTAGGTAGGGCACAAACCCAGAGACCACCTTAACTCAGGATTCAGTAAATACTTTCTTTTGTCAGATACTGTCTGTATTGAATTGAAAGAGCAATGTCTTTTTAAAAGTCAGACGTGGCAGCTATTACATAATAACTGCAATACCTGTGAAGTTGTACCTGTATGAATGCATCTGCAACAGAAATGTGGTTAAGTAGCTTGTCATTCTTTCCATCATTCAAAAATTTCCATCAGGAATGCTCACTGCAACTTTCCAATGGAAATAGATTGAAATTTTAAATAGAAAATGGGGCAGAGAGAAAAATATGCAACAGGATTAATTTACAATTTATAACCATTATCGAATTTAACAGATAATCTAACATTCATGTTAAGATCAGATGGAAAAAGCATTGAACTTCACAGTTTGTTCAAAAGAGAAGACAGTCCCTGTAGAATGTTTTTTTTTTGTTTGAAGTCAAGGGGTCCTCAATACAGACATTATGACAGAACACTTGCAAATATTTCTGTCTCATCATCCAGATCATCTGTACCAGAACCAGTTCTTATATATGTGTGTTTCAGGGGTCAGCATTTACTTTAAAGGCATTCCAAGACCATCTTTTGCATAAGTCAAAAACTCCAGAAGTAGTAAAAAATAATTACCTGAGACCTTTGTAAACAGTATTTTCCTAAATTGTGGACGTCAATACTACAATGTCTCCATCTAAATTTTTCAGCAGAAATGCAACTGAATACAACATGAAAAACCTTGCACTTTGATGGCAAATGTATTGTCATGCAAAGAAGCATAAGTACAATGGTTTGAGGAACAAGACACGTTAATATGGGCTAAACAATGCTCAGATAACCAAGTAGCCAAGCTAACCCTTTCACAATACACTTAGATATCCCTGCATGATATTGCATTATGCATATAAATTTATCAAACTGACTTCTTGGGAGAAAACATCACAATGGAGACTCTATGGCATATTTCCAGTGGTGCTAGAAAATGAGTGGTCAGTAATGCTTGACTACATCTAGAAGTAAAACCAGAAAAAAAAAAAAATCAAAATAATAAAGACAGTTTTCTCTAAAATATCAGATGAATTATGTTTGTCCTCATTAAATTGATTTTTCTTGAGTACTGAAATATTTGACTCTGCAATTTAAGTAATATTTTCTGTGTGTTGGAGAGGCTGTATAAAAATACTTGAGAAACAGAATTACAGCAAAAATTATTTCAATTAAGATCACTCTTCTGCAAGTGTCATGTTCCATCTTTTCCTCATTATCATCCTCACCTGAGACTAGATAGATAAATCACTGCTTTCAGCTCAACTTCTGTACAAATATGATGTGAATTAGTGTTTCCACCATAAAGGACTGTCATAATCTGTAAATCCTCTAGCAGAATAAGAATGCAACCTAAAATTTCCTACCTACTGTTATCATGTTAGTCATCGTTCAAGCTGAATAATTATTTAAGGGATCTAAATGCCTTACTTCCTGTATTGACCACTGGTATTGATATATTTTTCCTTGCAAGTGAAAAGCATACTAACAGTGAAATTAATTTACTTTCTCTCATCTACCTGTTCAAAACATAAACTGTCAACACTGAACATGGCCCAGTGTAAAGGACCCAGGGATAATATGACAACAGGCTTGGAGGCTTGGCAAATATCCCTGCTTTATTCAGTATGCTCCTATTTTTACTCCTTTTTTTTTTTTTTTTTTTTTTTTTTTTTTTTTTTTGCAAAGATGTAACATGCTACAGATAAAGGAAGACTGAAACAAGAAGTTTCATGTTGTCAAAAGTTCTGACCTGCCAAAACTCCAAAATTTCTATTACATTGTCACCTAAATTCACATGCAATTTATGGCCAGTCTCTCTTTCATTCCCATCTTGTCAGCCCAGCCTCTTGTCCTATATTGGTCTAGTATGATCATTACTGAAGTAAATGGTTATAGACTGCACTTTCTCAAGTTATTGCAGTATGTCTACTATTTAACAATGTGTACGAGCTCTAGGAGGCAACATTTCATTGCCTATCAAAGGGACAATATCATTACATTTCTTTTTTTCTTTTTCAAACCCCTATCTCTGCAATAAATATCAAAAGTCTTCTTATAGAGGAGGGCATTTGATACAAGCATCACTAAAAACTAATGAAAGATCCACAGAAACCTTTGATTACAGTCAACTTACCAATCTAAGGAAGTTTCTTTTTTCTTTGTGAAGACAGCTTCTAAATTTCCAGCCTAAATAGGTTCATGATAAATTTAAAATAATTTGATCATATGCTAATACTATACTTTAAATTTAATACTTTTTTATTTTCCTATAGCTTGTATTCTTCTGATCTATTCCTAAATAACAAAAATATTCTTTCACAGGTATCCTTTTACTCTTGCAATATCTGCTGGTAATATTGACCCTTATTCTCCACCCATTCTAGTAATTTACACGTTTGTGCAGCTCACCTGTCTTGATCATCAATGGCAACAACTTAGTGCTTAAGACAATACTTCACCAGTATCGTTGACACTCTCTACCTCCATAGAAAACATCTCTGATTTCTTCTACTAGTTTTGTTGGGGGGTTCTTTTTTTTTCTATTTTTTTTTCCCCGAAATATCATTTTGCTGACTTGATGACTGATTAATATACTCCTAGCCCTTCCTTTTACTGATGTGTCTCAACATACAACAGATGTTGCGTTATATGTCTCCAGCTGCATCATCTGCTATTTGCAGAGCTAAATTCCATATGACTGTCAGTTAGATACAAATGCCGTGAGAAGGGGTGGAGAGAGGAGGCCTCTGCTTGGTCAATCCCACCTTCCCATCTGGGATGTGTAACATTCCTGAATGGTTAATCACTCCATGGGGATGCTTTCAATCTTTCTGATGACAAATGTATTATCAAGTAAACAAGGATTTTGTTTCCAAAACCTTGGGCCAAAAGTAATCAAAAATTCATAATTCCAAAATTCAACTTGGACCAAGCCATAGTTGGAAAATGCTGCAAACTGTGTTCGTGTAACCTGGCCACTGCAAAAACTTTCACACTCTATCTGAACAATTAACCACACTATTCCATGTTTAACATAGAAATTTCTCTATATAAGACTAGCCCCAGGCATTCTGTAATATAATGTAATGTTTTTAAATGCATTTCAAAAGCTTGCAAATTTAGATTATTTTTTTTTTCTTCCCAGATTTTTTTTTTTTTAAGTGAAATATTTAACTGTGAAATAGAAACTGTCAGGTCATAAATTTAAACAAGATTTCCCCCCAATTTATAATGCTGGATGATGCAGCAGATATGCCATCTGAATTTCATTGTTATTAAGCTAGGTTCTACCGCCCAAGATCAAGGAACATAAGCAGTTAACTCATTCCAGTTGGAAGTACTGGATTTAAAAGATCAAAAATGTTAGTCACATTCTACAATTCCTATGATTCCCAAATTTTAAGCCTATAGTTTCATTTTCTGATTTGCTCTCTTGCCCCAGGTAAGGCTGTTGACTGTAAATGTTCGTTCATGAACAACTTATAGCCATACCTTCAGTTTCTTGAGGGAATTCATCAATTTAAAAAAAAAAAATAGGGAAAATGTTACATAAAACCATTCCTCTATGTACTCGGTTATCCTGATGGGCTACTAAAACATCATTGCATAACTCAGATGTTACCCTATTGTACCATACCTCTAGATACCACCTATAAACACGCCTGGTTTTTCACACTTACTGTATCTAATGAAGTCCCTGTAGTCTTCAGTAATGTCACCAGGAGATCCATACTTCACCTCACAGACATCCTTGAAATTCTCAGCTGAAACACAGAGAAGTGTGTGGCTAAATCTGGTTATCTGGTCTGGAATCTAAATAAGATGATATATCAAGATATGTTACACTATGGCATTTACATGGAAAGGTTTTGTGGAACCTTACTGAGCCCTAAGATCTTTCTTATATTTTAAAAGAATACTGCAATAATCCAAGAGGGAAAAGTCAGTCTTGTACTGTATTATATACTTTTCCCTGACAGCAGAGATCAAAAAAAGTAAGAAAGAAAAAAAGGATTTATTCTATGTCAAACCCTTGATTTAATTCTTAATTTTAAATTATTATAATAAAAAATGTATAGATTAAAAGATGTAATAGAATGTTTTGCTACTTAACTGAAGACTGGGGCATCTTTCATGAGAGAGATTAATAATAATGATAAAAATTAACAGAAATTATTTCAAGAACAAAATTCCCAATGTGTTTGCCCTCCATATGTCCTATGGATCCCAGTGATATCACCAACAGATTATATTTGTTTTACTGCAAAGAGAATTTTGGGGTAGTCTGATAAATACTGGCTGTTACTGCTGTCTAGATTAATTTCCTGATGGTCCCTTAGGAAACTTACGAAAGACACCTCTTTATCAGCCGTTTTCTGTGTACAACTTCTCATTAGCATTTCTATTGCTAATGTATTTCTGTGAGCAAAAACAAAACAAAAGCAAAATCACAAAACAATGATTCTTACTTCATATTCTAAAACATGTCTCTCTGGAGCCACTTTTTTCTCTGTATTTACACTGTTAGTACAATATATGGAGTTCTGTCAAAGAATACAGTTTTATCAGCAATAAAATGACACTATTAGGAATCCTACTCACCAGAGAAAGAGAAAGTTGCAAATGTATGAGAAAATCCAGCCTTTGGATTTGTATTTCTCAAAACTTCCCATCTCTGACAATGTTATGCTGTATTCCCACTTTTTGTCAGAAAATTCCATTTCAGTAGAGTTTGACATCAATGGCATTTTGCAGTATTATTTCCTAGAGGGGAAAAATACAGTTCTACCATGTCCTTGCCTGTGGCTCCAAAAAAACAAGCATTCTCACCAACTCCTGCTTCCTTTTAGTGTTCTGTTACTTATCACTTTGCTTTGAATCCTCTTCTGTTCCTCAGAAAATCTTTCAGCTTTACTCACTCAAATTCAAATTCCAATGCAGGAATAAAGATCCCAACCTTTACTGCTGAAAAACAGCTCTCCACAATCTACCAACAGTGCCAAGAAATTTCTAAAACCATGTTCCAGTTCCAAGCAAACATTTAAAAGATCTTCCACATTTAGTGAGAGTGAAGATAATGATGAAAAAAAAATCTTTTTGTCCATGTTACATTAGTGGTTATCTTGGCTAGAAGAGGTAATACAAAATTTCTTTTATCACCTGAGAACATGTTCTTAAAAGATATTATTGTCCCTTGCATATTTTTAGTGCTGAGGTAATGAGGAATTTCAGTGACATAGTCATAGTGCAATTGCTCTATAAGAAATAACATACAGTAGAAAAGATTTTCAAGACAGATGATATTCAAAAACGTATACTAAGCTTTGTGTTTTTCTTCTGCATCATGTACACTCCATTAATCTAAATCACTAGTGGTTGCAAAAGAACAGCCAGACAACCTTGGCCATCTACAGTCAGGCATAACAATTTCATGTAGTTAACCAACATAAATATTTCTAACTTTTTTTTTCCTAACCTTTGAATGTTTCCAGAGATGGGGCATCTACTACCTCTCTGGGCAAACTGTTCCAGCATTTCACCACCCACATCATAAAAAAATTTATATCTAGTCTGAATCTAACCTCTTTTAGTTTTAAAACCACTATTCCTTATCCTACCACAACAGGCCCTGTTAAAAAGTTTCTGCCCATCTTTCTCATAAGCCCCCTTTAAGTACTGAAAGGCTACAATAAGGTGTCCATGGAGCCTTCTCTTCTCCAGGATAAATAACCCCAGTTCTCTCAGACAGTCCTCATAGGAGAGGTGTTCCAGCCTTCTGATCATTTTTGTGGCCTTCTTCTGCACCTGCTCCAACAGGTCCATGTCTATTCTGTACTGAGGACTCCAGAGGTGGACACAGCACTCTAGGTGGGGTCTCACCAGAGCAGAGTAGAGGGTCAGAATAACTGCACTTGACTGCTGGCCACACTTCTCTTGTTGAAGCCTAGGATATGGTTGACTTTTGGGGCTGCGAGTGCATATTGCTGCCTCACGTCCAACTTTTCATCCACCAGTACCCCCAAATACTGCTGCTCTCAATCTCTTCATCCCCCAGCCTGTATTGATACGATGGGTTGTCCTGACCAAGGTGCAGGATTTTGCACTTGATCTTGTTGAACCTCATGAGATTCACATGGGCCCACTTCTCAAGCTTGTACAGGTCCCCCTGGATGGCATCCCATCCCTCAGGTGCATCAACCACACCACACAGCTCACTGTCATCTGCAAACTTGCTGAGAGTGCACTTGATCCCACTGACTATGTCACTGATGAAGATATTAAACAGTACTGGTCCTGATACAGACCCTTGAGGGACACAACTCATCACTGATCTCCATCCAGACATTGACCTGTTGACCACAACCCTCAGTATATTACTATCCAACCAATTCCTCATCCACCAAACAGTCCACCCATCTGTGGCAGGTGCACCTGCCCGATGAAAATGGAGCTTCCTGGCTGTTGAATCTTTTCTGTGCCCTTGTTCTCAGGGCTTTATAGTAATTTATAGTAATCCAGCTGTGATTTGGTATGTACTTTTATTTTCAGGTATTCAAACTTCAGAGATGTTCTCTATTGCCAAACAGCAACTCTGTTGTTAATTAGTTTTTCTGAAATCTCTACATGGAAATGTGTTTAGTCAAAATATGTTTTTTCTACTTGAATTTACTTAGCCTTGTTTGGCTTCTTTTAGGCAACCATTGTGCTCCACAGACTTGTTCCTCTGATTAGGGAGTTGGGATACAGGCCATGGCTCCTGGCTTGGCCACGCTTCCAGATTTATTTCTATGTTAACTAGGTCACAAGTGAGAAGGAGATAATGCACTCCTGTTTTTTTGGACACAAGCATGTATTTGTGTCCAAAGACCCAAACTGTGTGTTCCTGAACTATATGTTTTAGGCATAGTTACTGGCAGCCATTAATTGCTTTCTCAAACTAGAATTTTATTTCATGTACTAGACCAAACTAAAGAACTACAAACATATGATTAATTTTAGTAAATATGTCTTCCAACTATCCCAGAATAACTCAGTGGAAAACTGATTCATGTTTTCTCTGTGAAATATTTATTCAGCTGTGTAAACATGTAATGTTTATCTTGTCAAATACAGTATTTTTCTGTGGAAAATATAAAAATAAAAATACATTAAAAATTTTTAGCTTTGGTACCTAACGTAGGTATTCCTCCATAGCAGCACATAGACACAAAACCCAGTTGCTTTGAAATTTTGCAATTATACATAATCTCTATGAGAGTATGTCATTCAACATCTAGAACTGGAAAAGAGAAGAATGTTCTTCCATGATTGCAGAAGACCAAGTATTCTATGAAGCACAGCTTGTCCTCTGAGATTATACCTGTAAAATTAAACTGGTTGACTGTTTTCTCATTTTACAGAAATTCTGTTCATCTGCAGTAACTGTTCTAAAATAACATCAAATTGTCTAATCATTGCAGCTCTATTTTCTTATTCATTCAAACATATGCTCCCTAGAATCTCATATGTGGAAACAACGTAAGGATTCCCTTTCTCTTTAACTTCTATAGCTCTCCTTTGATCTGTTTCTGAGCTCTAGACATGGTGATTCCAGGGTTACCTGAAAATATATTGCATTTATTTCTTTGACAGCATTTTCGCAGAAAAGTGAGATTCTGAAAGACTGAAGAAGTACATAAAGACACATTGCAAAGGGGATTTTGTCACTCTAATGTCATATTTGAAATGTTAATGTTTTCACTGTCATGAAATTTTATTATAATCATCGCAGTTTGTATATTGAGTCTTTTTTGATGCAACAAGAATTGCTTGCTCTGTTTGCAATAGTTATATGATTTTATTATTCAAATTGGCAGATTCAAAACTGTATAAAAATATATATGAATATATATATATGCCTATATACATACAAATGTGTATGTGAGTATCTAACAGAAAAAAACACTGTAAGATAAAAACTAGGTAATACCTCTAAGTCATATTATGGTTGAATATTTCTAGTGAAAAATGAAAAAGCATTACTTGAAATGGAAATAGATCTCTTTACAATATGAACTATTTATTCATGGAAATGTCATAATATCCATAACAGTAATACCTTCATGCTAAAAAGCAAATTATATTTAGGAGCAAGGCTGAACTTATTTGTTGCAGACTTATTTTTCATTTTCAATTTCGCTAATAATAGTTTTTCAGAAAAACAGAAGAAAAAATACTGAATTGATGTAGCTTATCAAAAGCTAGGGAACTGAATACCTGTAAAACAGTTGTTATTTCTTACTGAGACTACCTGTGTGTCCAGTTTAGGAAATATATAACAGAAGCAAAGGTTTTTGAAGCAGATGATCTTCTCTTGGAGTACACACACACACATACAAAAAGATGACAGGCAGATGTCTAGACTTCATGTCCTTCAGCATAAATGGCTGATTTCCTCAAGACTAGAGCTGTAAACTCCATTCTGAAGAGGGGCATTACAATTTATCCTTCTTCCTTGTCCTTTCCCTAGGAAAGGAAAGAGAACATCTACAAACAAGTTTTTGTTCACAGCCATGTTTGTGAAGCACATGTATTGCATTATGTGGCAGAGATGGAGCAATCTATCAAGGAGGTAAAGAAAGTATTAGAATTCAATTTGTAAGGTTAATCATCTGTTTAAGATAGGAATTGGGAGCAAACTGGGGTTTTTTGTTTGTTTTGTTTGTTTGCATTTTGTTGTTTTGTTTCGTTTTTTTCTTTTTTAACAGAGATATTAGGACAATTTGCATGATAGGAAGTTGAAGAATGGAGATCATGAATAGGTCACATAGGTATGAAAGAAAAATAAATGGGAATGCCAGGTATTCAGAGAAAATTCCTGTTATTAAAAAAAAAAAAATCTAGAAAATAAAGCTATAAATATTCCAGATAAGGTTTAAGGACCCTGAACATACCAGGTGAGGAAACACAGCATAAGATGTACCACCCTTTATTTTATGTTCAGTACAACAGGGTCTCTTGTTTGATCTTGGCTAACCAAATCTCATTAAATATTATAAAACTTTCTTAATAAATTATGTGCTAACTCTCAGTTAATTCACACTTCTAAACAGAACTAAGTTACTACCTTCTTCTCAACCATTTCCCACATTTTTCAGTATTCATTAACATATTGTACATAGCTATATATATTACTTTTCCATGTTTTCAACATGATTTTGTCTATATCCAGCCATATTATGGCTTCTTGACAAAGTATTGAACTTTGGGAGATCATAGATAATCAGTCTGAAAGAGATCTGAAAGAGAGTTAAGAATGCGTCCTTTATTTATTTCAAATTTGGAGTGTTTCCTGAACTCCTGTCCTTTGTACATGTCAGTTGATTGTCTTAAATGTTAATGCTTCTATACAGTTGCGCTTTTTTTCATATAAATGATCAAATATTCTTGGTTGGGAGAGGGAAACTAAGAAACTATTCTGAAATTAGAATTCACCCATGTGAAGGACCTTGATAAGGTTAAAATCTCTTTTTCAGTTAGTATTTATATATGTGGAAAATGAAATGCAACAAGAGACATGGACACAGATCTTTTTTGATCATACACCCGTCTCATGTTTTGGGTATTAATTTGAGAAAAGAGGTAGTGAGGTTCAAAAAATATTAATTATTTTAGCTATATTATAAATTATTTAAATATAAATTACTAGTTATATTATAAATATAGGTCTCAGTTTGCAAAGGAAAAATATTTTAATAAGGAAAAATCTGGAAATTATG